TCTTTTGTATGTAGGGTCTCTCATGGACGGCTTCCAGCTCTGCGTCACTAGCGGTGCGTTCGTTAAGGAGTACCTCACATTTTGAAATGAGACCACAACTTTCCAACTTCGCCATGATCTGTAATCCTCAAAGTGCACTCACATTACATCACAAGATGAAGACTAAGAGCTACGCTAAGAACAGTAATTTGAAAAGTTGGCAAATGTTCAGCACCCTACTTTGCCCGAAAATTAGTCTTATTCTAACGCATTAGCAAAATCAAGTAAAAAATGGTAACCGTACTCGCTGCGTCCTGGCAGGAACTTCTGGGTGGTCGTCCTCAACGGTACTATAATGTTTCGAACTATCGCCGTTATGAACAAGAAGCATCTTCGCAGGAGCAGAAGCTGTAAAGAATATGTATTTCACACGTTATAATGAGACAATGGTTTTACAATAAAGTGTCAGTTTCGACTTACCTATGGTTGTCCACTCGGACTTGAAAAGATTCTCCTGCATAATGTTGCCAGTATTTTCTTTTTCCTCATCTTTAGGAGGCTCGAAGAAAACAGTAGGATGATGTCTGAAGCAAACGAATATTCAATTTGTTTTGTTAAGAAAAATCCTCAGAATTTCCCGAAATGAAACAGAAACTAGCATATCGAGTTTGAAATCAAAGAATGCTCTATTTAGGTTAAATCAAACTTTGCATGATGAAGAATGCAGAGTACTAACTGCGGGAAATCTTCAGATATAAATTGCAAATGTGAGAGTTTGAGAAGTATTCCAAGGAAAAAAACGAACAAGGTAAAATGACGGAACAATGATGTAAACTCAAAATTTCCAACAATAAGATATACAATTACTGATGCACAACTACTGCCATACAACTTAGAGATGCAAAGCACTTTTTATTAGTTCAATTGTCGTAAGACAACTCAAAAAACGAGTAAACTTTTGCTTTGCTGTAACAAATGGGCCATTTTGAGGGTATAACAAGCAGTTAAAGCTTCCAAACTAACAAAAAGAACGTTGCCTTATTAAAAACTCACACGCTCCACTGTTTGCTTCTATTGTGCGCATTGATGTAAAAATCGAAGCAGGTCCAGAATCTTCTCAAAAGAGAGATAGCGTTGAGGCATGATACCACCGTGCTACAAAAGAGAGAGTTCGTTCGTGAACAAGATTACCCAACCAATACTCATAATCAACTGTAAAGATGCATGATAACATCAGAGCATGTGCTATCAATTCTATAACAGGCAAAAATTGTCACAAGCCGATATGTATTGTAACAGTAACGAACAATTTTTGAAATCCTTTCACGGCAGATGTCTTGCTCAAAATACTTACATAAGCACTTCGCTTTGAAACTAACTCAAAATCGTACCTATCTTTCGGTGGTCCCAACTTTGTAAGTGGTAAAGGCTTGTATCCACAAAGAACTCGCAAACATCTATGGACGCCAACAGATTGAACACTGTGATTATAACCACCCTAAAACATAAGAAAAAAGACTGAACTAAAATCTAGGAACGTTTGAAAAGAAACTTTAAATAATAGTTATTAGAACATCCTAAACAGAAGAAGGTAAATTTTACTCGAGCTGCTTGCCTGAGCATTAATAATTCTAGCATAACATGAATGTCCGATACACCTATACCTCGAGTAGCAATAACAGCTTTCCATGAGCGAGGGCGCTTAAATGATACACAATGTGTGAATATGCATCAGGAGACAGATGCATCCCGCCGAGTGGATCACCATCACAAGAGTCAAATCCTACAACGCACGAATACTGCCGAACAAAAATTAATTTATGAATCGTCATATACCTGCAGAAACTATGACAAAATCAGGATTGAACTCGCGTGCCAGAGGCATAAGGACGTTCCAATGAATTGCCATATAGTCAGCATCTCCACAACCGGTCTATATTTGAAGCTATAATTTCAAAACAAAAGCATCCCATATTTTTGTGCCAAGATTATACTTTAGGTGACAGCAGTGAAAGCACCCCTTATCCGATCTAATAAAGTTCTAGGTAAGCGGGAAATTATTTGAGTAGGCTGTTCGTCGAATTTTAGACTTGAAAAAAATTTAACATAACCAATGAGTGATAGTTAGCTAGCATTCCACAAGAACTACATAATCAGGTGATGATTCT